TTTTCCACGTTCATGCAGGGGAGGTATAAACAAATGACACACAAGCTCCCTGCAGCATCCTGTCTCCATTCTGGCTGTGTCCATGGCAGCAGCAGAGAGACTGAAACAGAGTTAATTTGATTTCTTTAATCAATGGGATCTTTCCAATTACACATTAACCACTATCAGATCAGTCTGCCACTGCCCAGCATGGCAGAAGCACACACATTTTGCACTGTATTATGTTTACTGCAAGCAAATTACACTGATTTCCATAATTACAATGTACTTCACTCCCCCAGAAACCCTGTCATGCAGAAAAGGTGGGTGCTACTACCAATTTATTTTTTCATCTTTGTACCTTGACTTCTCTGGCAGCAAAGCAGGTGCCTGCTCCTCAGGTAGGCACTGACACCACAGAACTCCTTGCAAGCAGCTCCCAACAAGCAGCTTCCTGCTCCTTTGCAGAGAATTAAGAAACAAAACAGGAAAGGTGATCCTGTGTTTAAGGCTGACGCTGACACCCTCGTGGCTCTGCCACAAACTCCCCAGATGACCCTGTGCAGGCTGCTGTCCAGCTGAGGGGCAGCCCCAGGGTGGGCCAGGGTTCCTCCAGCTCTCCCCCTGGGCACAGGGAGCTACAAGAGGCAGTCTGCAATCACAGCACTCCAAGCACCACAGTAGGAAAGAGAGGTGGAAAAGGCCTCACACAAAGCTTCTGAGGCTTGGCACTTGTAGAAAATACTGAGCAGGGAACAGTCCTGGTCCAGCCAAAGAGCTGTGCATCCTTTCCAGCTCTAGAGAGGGTCTGACTATTAGAAGGTAGCTCAGGGCTTTGCTGCATCTGATGGAAGCAGCTCAAAATGAGACTCAACCTTCAGCCCACTCCCCAGTGCTGTATTGCCAAGGCTGATGTTACCCAGTTTCAGGGCAGTCAGGCTGCCTGACCTTCCCCCAAACCTGTTTAACCCTCAACATTGTTATAACAATTTCTTCTGGTCAAGACCCATGCCAAATTTAAGGAAGAGTTGGGGAAGACACCAGCAGGAACACAAGGACAGCTGTGAAATTTCACATTTCACAAACATCTGGCCTCTCAGGAACCAGAGCAAGGGCAGCAGGCACCACACAGGGACAGCAGGAAGGATTCTTCACGTGTCCCTGGAAGGAAAACAATGAGGCACTGCACAGGAAAATGTGTCCTCTATAGCAGGGACACTACAAATGACCACCTGATCAGCTACAGCCTGAGCCTCAGACCACCCTGGCAGACAGCACATCCATGGGGACCTGCAGCAGATTGCCTGGATCACATCTGCTGCACCTGTCTTGATGTGCACCTTCTGACAGCAACTCCTGGGCAACTGGGAGGCAGCACCGAGGAGCAGCTGAGCAGACACTTAAAAAAACGCCATTGCAGGCTGGTCAGCCAGGAGCCATCCACCAGCTGAATGTCAGGCTGCCCTGGGAGGTACCTGACATGACACAGACTGAGCTCAGGGGCAAGGAAGGCTTGAGCTTAGATGCTCTTCAGCAGCTCTGAGAGGTCATAACACAAAAAAGCAGAGTGACAGGCAGCTAAGAGCTGTACAAAGGAAAGGCTCCTCCACCCCACATGGTGAACTCATTGATCAACACAAAGAACAAGAAGACAGAAGTGAAATTGCTTGTATGATGCCACAGCAACAGTCTTCCTAGCAAGGGCTGCTCTTCCCCCACCCTTCCCTGCCCATTCTTATGGGCACATGGGCCATCATCCCTCTTTGATCATCCCAGGACCCCTGCCTTTGGAACAGGAAGCCTGCTGGATATAGATGCTCTTCACTGAGAACTCCCAAGTTTCCTTTCTGTCTTCCCAGCCTCCCTAAGGACCAAGCAGCCAGTCTGATCCCAAGCACAGAGCTGTTCCTTCTACATGTCTGCAGCCTCTAAGTGTTTTGCATAGATGACTCCTTTCCAGTAACAAAAGGCAACAGCAAGACATGAATGAGTGTGTGGGAATCATTCATTCCATTTAAGAGATCCCAACTGCTCCAGTGATAGTAGGACTTGGATCAAAACCATGTGCCATCAAATAGTGTCATTTAATCATATGCCACAATCATATCTAATCAGGCCAGTGACTTCACTCTCCTCCCTCCTACAAAAAAAATCTATCCACCACTTCAGAGAGTTGATATTTCACACCCTTACCCCTTAAAAAATAATACATTCAATCACTGTGTATTTCACACTGAAGCTCCTTCCCTGGCAGACTAAGTGCCCCTGAATCACTCTGAGTTCTGTGCAGATCTGTGACAACAGAACCAAATAAAAGGGTGACTTGCAACACAAATACATACACGTAGGTCAAAACTGATCAGCAGCTTCCTGCTCCTCCACTCTTCAGAGGAACACTCTGCCAAAAGCTGTTTCCCATGGGTTTCAATCGATGAGACCCTGTTTCAAGCCAGTGCATCTTTCTATAACCCAGTACCAAGGAAGATGCTGGCCAGTAACAGTGTGTAAATAATGGTATCCAGAGCCCTTCACACAGACCTTCAGAAGAAACAGGGGGGGTGTTTATCCACACAGGGCTGGCCAGACCCCCCTGTGCCCAGGCAGAGCTCATCCCCCAGCTGGGAACAGGAAGGAATACTAGTCCTGTTCCACCAGTTCTGACAGCCAAGGGGTGCAGTTCCACACAGAATCACACCCACGGGTCTCTGGGGGGCAGTGCACAGACCACAACCCCCTCACAGCCACAGGCACCTTCGGTGCCCTCTGCAAATCTTAACACTCTGCACCCTTAACATCACTGCATCACTTAACATCTTCACATCACTGCACCCTTCGAACCAACAAGGGAGATACTGGAACCACCTCCTCTCCCCCAGCCCACACATCCCCAGGGAACTTCAGCATCCCACAGAACACCCTCCCTGCAGCTGGGTGGGTTCTGTACCCAAGCAGGGGGGATGTTCTCTCGCCCTCAGACACGGCAGCCCCTGGAGCCCCCCCATGTGTGTTCTGGGGCTCCTGGGCTGCCCCGGCCCGGCCGAGGTGATGCCAGCGGGATTTCTATGTAAAACTACCAGTTAGTAGTTTCACATGCACAGCTCTACTGCCACGCTATGGGTACTCCTGGTTACTACCACCTGCACAAACCCTGGGGACAGGCAAGGTTAGAACCGAAGCCTCTCAGGAACTCTGCTGAGGAGCACGATTTGCTTGACGAAGGTACCAGAAGCTCCAGCTCAGACCGATCTTACTTCCCTAAAACTGGGCTCTGCACAGGGAAGGTGCTGACACCCTCTGTGCATTGACTGCCCCGGGTACCCAGCAGTGAAGCCACTGCTTCCAAAGTTGGTATCTTGCTTCAACTAAGAAATTTTCACTAGGATTTCAGCATTTGTTAAGAAAAGATGATCTAGGAAGAAGAGGTAGTGACCGTTGCCTCTGACTCTGATGCTAATAAATAACATCTGAGGCCTAAAATTATTGGGAAGAATCTTCTGCTCACAAAGAAAACCAACAGAGCACCAACGTCTGGGTGAAGGATCCAGAACAGGCAGCACCCAAAATGCAAAGCAGGGAGCTAGGGGCCTGGGAAGAAAGGATCATCTACTGAACAAGCAGGTGAAGAGAGAGAAGCCTGAAAGTGTTAGGATGAATGAGCTACAGAGAGCTTAGAGGAAGAAAAAAGCTGTAAACCCCTGGTATAGGAAATGCTTTGGCTGTCTACGTTGGTCTACTTGTATCTGGAAAGCACAACAGAAGCTGCTGGAATGGTTCTCTGGTGCACAGCTCAAGTGCCCTGGCTAAAGAAAGGAAAAATATTCACCAAAATAAAAATTAATCCTTAATTAGGACTTGGGGGTTGTTTGGGTGGTTTTACATCTGCTCCTAATAGATACTTCCAGTTAGCAAAACTCCTCAGGTCCACTGCAGGAGTACTCAGGAGGAGCAGCTATCACTGATTCTGGATCTCCTTGGAGGAAAACTGCCTTACATAATACAATTATCAGAAGTTTTTAAAAAAACAAACAACAACAAACCAACCTAAAAGCCAAGGAGGTTTCATACACCTCAAGACAAACACACCTTCCTCCAGCCTGCCATACAGCAGACAAGACAAACGTTACTTAGAAACTCTTGGAAACTGAGGCAGTGCAGAGTGTTGAGAGGAGACACAGGCAAACACTCTCCCACTCTTCCCCCTCCTACACACACATAAGGGCAGTCCCTAAATATTTGCTCCTTACACCAAAAATAAACTTCTGTCCTCAGATACATTTTTGCTCCAAGGGCAGTTGTGGAAACCAGGGAGGAGACATCAGCAAATTCCCCCCCAGTTCAGGTCTTCTTTTGCTCTCTTTCAAGGCAATAAACAGGTAGTGCACAGAAAACATGATGCTGGGGCCAAAGAGCTTGTATGTGAGACAATCAACTTAAGAGAAAAGTGCTTCCATCTTCATTCAAGGCATCCTAAATCTCTTCTATCAGCTACGGGCGAACACCAGGGCAGTGAACCATCAACTTAAAAGGAGGAGTAAGAGAAAAGTGCTCCATCTTCATTCAAGGCGTCCTAAATCTCTTCCATCAGCTACGGGCGAACACCAGGGCAGTGAAATCATGAATTAAGATGCAAGGGCAAGAGACTGAGGGGAAAAAAACCAGGATGGCATTTTTCACAGTCATCTTGCACATCACACAGCAACCGTGCACAAATCGTTTCACCCCCCAGAGAAGGGGAATCATATCCAAAAAAGCCACCTTTTCTCACCCCATCCTTTAACATTGTTGCTCCCAAAGGATGCAGAGGGAAACTATCTTGCCCAAAGCTGCAAAGGGCTGAAGAAAATATACTCCTTATTGAACACTGTAGGGAAGCATGTGCTGACACACCAGTGCATCCACACACACAGTGGCATCATTCCCCCCCTCCCCCCCCAAAAAAAGAGGATTAACAGTGGTCCTTTGGATTAAGGAACAGGAAGGAAAATGCTCCCAAAGTTGCCAGCCTTCTCCATGACACTCACCAGTCACCGAGGCAGCCAGCAGCCCCACGGAGAGCAGCAGCACCCGGCTCCAGGGACCCACTTCCACCGGCATCACAGCAAACAGCCCCAGTTCTCCCCAGTCCCTTCCAAAGCTGCAGCTGCATCCCGGCTTGTCCCATCCCAAGGAAGGTTGCATGTCAAAGGGCAGGAGGGTCGGGGCGTGCTGGGGGTTGGTTCTTGTCGGGTTTTCTCCCCTTTTTCTTCCCCTTGGCGACTGGGATAGTCCTCGGCTCGGCTGGATGAAGAGGAGAAAGGAAAGGGGGGGGGAAGCAGGTCAGGCTTGTGATTTTTATTTTTTCAGCCCAGGAAAAAAAAAAATCCCACCGCATGGAAGGCTCTGAGCTTCTGCAGCTGGAATGAACCAAGTGTGGCAGCAGCTCGGGGAGAGAAGAGGCAAGGAAAGGAGAGGAGGGCTGGCTTGTCCCTCCCGGTGGCTGTCTCAGAGCCAGCTCCTCGGCATGAGCAGCACACAGTCCCCAGGGATTTATACTTTTTTATTAGCCACTTGATTAATCATTCCCTTAGCTTTGCTCTCCTCTTCACTAAACGCTGGGGAGGGCGGGGAGGGCAGGGGGCTGTGCTGAGTGAGGGGCTGCTGTGCAGCCACCAAACGGCTCTGCCTCCCCAGCCCAGCACCAGCCTCCCACCAGCACCAACAAACCACGAATTGTGCTTTAGGGCTGCATTGCTTTTTAACACACCCGACAGGTTTGCTTGCCCAGGAGCGATGCCCGGAGCCCCCCGTGCTGCAGGGAGCCCAGCACCCCGCGCTCACACAGCATCCCTGCTCCTGAGCCGCCTGCCAGAGCCATGCAGCTCCTCCCAGAGCACCCCCACCCCTTCTCCCTGCCTCTGTAAACAACTTGATGATATTGACACCATTTTTTTTTTGGCGATTCAATTGTTACAAACACAAGAGATGACACAAGAGCCACCGCCCCCCTCCGAATCCCCCCCCCCAGTCTGCAACCTGCCCTGGCAGCATTGGAGCAACACCCTGACACTGGTGGGACTGGATCAGAAGGAATTCTGGAGGTGGGAAAGGCTGTGCTGGCTGTGCCCCCCCAGCACGCCCCTCGCAGGGCTGGCACAGGGCTCAGGGCTCCTTCCCCACCAGCCTCGGACTGTGGGGTTTTTTTCCCTTTAAATCTCCCTGCACATTTGTCCCTGGCGCTGCCTGCAAGACGGGGATAAAAACGCAGCCCGTTAAAGGCACATTCAGGAACTTAATTATCTCAGTAATGATGCTCAGATCTACGGACAAGAAGAATAACTCGAACGTGACACCGAAGCAAATACATTTCTATATATCTATCTATATATATATATATATCTCCTCGATGATCCCCCCCGCCCTTCCCAGCAAGACCCTACTTCTGTTTCCCTTTAGGCCTGGCAGACAAGGAGCAGCCCCTCTCCCAGAAGCACCGCTCGGAGAAGGGGGGTGTTCACCAGCCCCAGATCCCCCCTCTCCAGCCTTTCCTCCCCTCTCACCGCCCGCCCCCCGCTCCCCAGGGGTGACCCCGGGTCCGGTGGCCCCCGAGGGGGCAGCGACCGCGGGTGGGTCAAGTCGCCTCCCCCCCCCGGCTCGGGGCTTGGCATTTGCTGCAGTTTCTTGCTGCAAAACCCCCTTCTTCGGTCTCGTTCCGCTTGCCTTCAATGAGCTTATTCGCCAGCTGAAAAACACCCCGAATTCTATCGAGGGTTTGCAGATCTGTCCCCCTCCACCCTCCAATCAATCCTCTTTCTCACTGCTCGCTCTGTCCCCTCTGCATTTCAATCCTCCCACTGCCTCCAGCGCGCCGATGCCAAGAGCCAAGGCAACCAGGGCTGGTGCATGAAAGAGTCGCTTCATGTCTGCTGGAACTGCAGTGTCCTGTTCAAACGGACCTTCTTGCTCAAAGGCACGGCTCCAGAAAGAAAAAGGAACCGAGACCAGGGTACCATGCTGCCCAGCTCCACACATTGGTTTGCCCTTATCCAGCTCTTCACCTCCAAGAATCCCCCCCACCCCACCCCAAAATCGCCCCCCCCGGGGCTGGGACCCGGTTGCTGCACAGAGGGCAGGGGCTGAGCCGGGACAGCCCTGCAGCAGGAACCATCGCCAGGCATAATCAAGCCATTGAGGAGACACCACCCCACTTTCTTCCTGCTTAATACAATCATATATATTTGCAAACCAAGGGTTTTACTCCCACGCAACTTTCCCTCTCAAAACCCAAGCAGGTTTAGGGTCTAATTCCCTCCAAACAAGTCCCTGTGTTCATTCACTGAACGGACCAGACGGCTGAGCAGAACAGAAACCATCAGGGCAATCACCAGCTTCTCCTGACCACCACCCAGCCCTGAGGAGGAGGCGCTGGCAGGTTCTGGTTACCGGCCCAGTTCCCTGCCCACCTGGCAGAACGGAGCCAGTTCCTGTGCCCAGCACCCGCCGGGGGACGAGCCCCGCCAGGCCCCGGCTCTGCGGGTGTTCCGCTGACTTCTTGACGTTCCATTTCTCACACAGCACCTCACCCTCCCTGCCAAAAGCCTCATCTGGTTTGAGATCCCTCCAAATAATTAAAAAAACCCAGCAGCGATTGCAACACCCCCAGTGCAAGCCCTGGAACCGGGAGCAGTTCCCAGGTACCAGGTCCTCCCGGTACCTTCCTGGAGGAAGGGAAACAGGCAGACAAAAATCAAAGGTTTACTCAACAGAGTGCCAAGACCTGGTTTTCCCTCTAGTTCTGGCAGAAAGCCACCTCCCCGGAGACCTTCTCTCCCTCTCCCACACGCATCGTGCCCCAGAGCCCACAGGCACCACCTGCCTCACAAACACAACCATCCAGGTGATAGGAGAAGCTGCAAGAAAGCATCAAACAGCACGATTACATTCCCCTGCATCTTGGAGTAACACAGTAATTTGGTACGGGGGGAAAAGCCCAAAAGAACTTCCTAAATGCCATACAATTTATTTCCTTTCTTCTCTCTTAACCACGTATTATCGCTGTGGGGGGGAAAGAACATGAACTCATGGTTGTGCCTGGATAAAGATACAGCTGTGAATAGTATGTCTATTAGCAAGAAACTGCAGTCACTATTTAACTTACATGACAGGAGAGTCCAGTTCTGGATTATCTGAAAGGAGATAAGTACAGAGCCAAGATCTTAGTGTACACTGTAATGATGTAGTAGAAAGAATTCAATTCACAGCTGTTGCATCTGAAGATGTGCACCTATCTTTTGTATTTAATAAATACTTTGCCGTGTATTTTCATATCTAGATCAAGTTTTGCAGCCCAGCACCCAAAATGCCACAGAGAATGTAGAGAAGAAACATTACACTAAGCAAAACTCTGTAGCCCTCCTTCTCCTGTCTCCTGGTCAAGCAGAGTTCCATGCGACCTGCTGTGCAGCAGGGATCTGGAATGGGCTGTGAAGAGTTTCAGGGGCACAAACTGCTTGAGCAGGGGTGAAATGTGTTGCTAGACAGGCCTAAGACAAGGATGCTGCTTCTCTTTGGGCTGTGGGAAACCATGAGTAAATGCTAAAGCAGGAACAGCCCTTCTGCCTGCACTGCTTCCCTCACCCATGGCCTTTGCCTCTTCATCTCATGTCAATGGAAGGATGAGGGACTGGGGGCAAGTGAAGGGAAGAGAACCAGAGGGAGGGTCAGTCCTGTGCACTCCATGGGACTTTGCCCCCTATAGACACACAAGGAGCTCAGGAAGAGGGAGGCAGGGACAGTTGAATGGTGCAGACTGGAGTTTCTTTAGACATTTATGCCAGAGAACCCCCTCAGCTCCCTGCAAGGACATGACACTGCCATTTCCCTTCCTGCTGCTGCCAGCTCAGTGGAAGTTTCCAGCTGTTGCCCTTCCTGGCAAGCCCAGGGTTCCATGGTTGCCAGGGCTCTTCAGAACCAACACAAACCACCTCTTCCAAAGAGACCGTTGGTGGCTGCTAAGAGGCTGAAAGATGCTCTCTCCTAAGGACAGGTTTTCAGCTTCAGCATTAACACCTGAAGACCCGTTCCCACTGGGGCCTTTTCCTAGGTGCATCTGGATCCCCTTCTGCCTGCACTGCTTCCCTCACCCATGGCCTTTGCCTCTTCATCTCATGTCAATGGAAGGATGAGGGACTGGGGGCAAGTGAAGGGAAGAGAACCAGAAGGAGGGTCAGTCCTCTGTGCAGTCCATGGGACTTTGCCCTCTGTAGACACACAAGGAGCTCAGGTAGAGGGAGGCAGGGACATTTGAATGGTGCAGACTGGAGTTTCTTTAGACATTTATGCCAGAGAACCCCCTCAGCTCCCTGCAAGGACATGACACTGCCATTTCCCTTCCTGCTGCTGCCAGCTCAGTGGAAGTTTCCAGCTGTTGCCCTTCCTGGCAAGCCCAGGGTTCCATGGTTGCCAGGGCTCTTCAGAACCAACACAAACCACCTCTTCCAAAGAGACCGTTGGTGGCTGCTAAGAGGCTGAAAGATGCTCTCTCCTAAGGACAGGTTTTCAGCTTCAGCATTAACACCTGAAGACCCGTTCCCACTGGGGCCTTTTCCTAGGTGCATCTGGATCCACCACAACACTCCCCAGGATAGCTTGGACAAAGTCTGCTATGAGATCTGGAAACGTGCCCAGCGACTGTCGGCAGAGCTGCAGCCCCCCGAGCTGGCGCCCCTGCCGCAGCACGTGCTCTGCTCCGACCTCCCGGGGCCCCTGCGCAGGGACAGCTTCACCTCCCACTCCACGTAAGTCACCTGCAAGTGTTGCCCAAGGTCTAGTGAAAAAAAAAAGCTGCTCCTTTCCACTGTACACTCCCCAAACTAGACTTTTGTAGCCCCTTGAAAGGCAAGCCCGGGGCACCGGGCACAGCGGTTTCTGTCTGGCGGCCTCGTCTGATGAGGCAAATTATTCCCACTTTTTTTCCACTCTCACCAGTTTTCTTTGGAAAAAAAAAAAATGTGTGTCCCATGAAATCTGACTACTTCAAATTCTGAAGCACCAGAAGCAGCTGCTGCATTTGCTTCCCCACAACATTTGAAGGAAAACAACCACATACACATCAAAAT